CTATCCTAGGAGGGGAAAACCAGGAAAAAACAATGTTTTCTATCATCAGGATGGAAAAAAATGTTTCTGTGCTGAAAGTAGGTCTGAATCTAGATACAAGTTGATCCACAACATTCACAGAAAAACATTTATTATTTCATGTTTGAATCTCAGAATTTGTAGCCTTTGTTGTTAAGTGGTGTCAAGTCCTTCTGCCTTATTGCAATCCTGATAAATTCAAAAGTAGTTCACCATTGGCACACTTCAGAGGTTTGAATAGCAGTTTGAACCAGTCTCCTAAGTCCTAATACACTATCCACTTCACTACAGTAGCAATAATGTAGTGGCCAGAATTCTGCGACTTAGTCTCACTACTTTAAGTCTGGAGGTGTACATCTCAGTGGTGAATTGCTGCTAGTTAAGAGGACAGTGCTTGTATTTCTTGTTGTAAACTAGTCATATGGCTTGGTACATGACAAGAAATCAAGTACAGTAAAGACTTTCTCATGGTGATAATTTGCCACTGAAATGTATGCTGTTGGACTTATACTGTCCTGAATAAGCAATAGAATTTTGGCTATTGCATCTAATCTTCCAGATATTTCATCTCCAGATGTTTGGTCTATGTAGAACGTATAACAGCACAGTTTAAAGCTATGAAATGTTTGCAATCAGTAATAGTAGTTCTGTTTAGTCTATGTGTTTCATTTTAAAACAGTAATTTGCTAGCGTTAGGAAGAAATTATTTTTGTGAATCTTGTAAAAGTAATATGTTCATTTTGATAGTGAGCAAAAAAATTGTACATTAATATATTCCTGTGCACTGGAGTGTTTTATGACTATACCTGTGATTTAGAAGTAGCAGGTCCAAGATATGTAAAGGCGGGGATTTGCATCTTACTTTAGGTGCCAGATGAAATGAAAATCTATCTGGACAATAGCTGTGCTGTTAGCTTTACTTCAACAGATAAAGCAAACACCATAAAACAGCATTTTATTACTAAGGTGAGATGCAAAAGATGGTTTGAACAGTCTGTAGAGAGAAGAGTAGAAAAGAAGCATTTGTCCTTTCATTCGTATATGTAATTCTGTCTTTGAGTTAATATCCAGCACAATGAAAAGTGAACAAACATTAGCAAAAACTGATGGCGAACAACTCCACTAAATTGTAATTGTAATTTCTGACAGTCTCTTCTTACATAATTATTTCTTGATAAATAAACTCCATAACATGTAAGAAATCTGAACAGGGAAAGCAATTATATGAGAATGCATATTGCATTAAACAGATGTATAATATATATGTATGAAATATATCTCAGAGATCTACACACATTATAAATACACGTGTAGATGTATAATGCATATACTCATGCAAGCTGCTTTTAGACAAAACCTTTACTTCATGGAAAAGCAGTGATTAATATATCTTGTGTTAACTTGATACCTTGTTGTTAGTTGAAAAATTGTGGTTACCCTTCTAAAAGTCTCATGATGTGGTGATAATATTTTATGGCTAGCTATATGGAATATTTGAATATTGTATAGGAGTAAAAGCTCAGCAGATGCTAGTCTTTTTTATTTATTGGAACAATACTGTAATTGTTGATTGCAATATTACCCCCCACTGAAATACCAGAAGTAAGTTAGATAAGAGGAAGTACAGAATGAGAATCAGGTTAATATAGTACATAGTGTTGGACTAGGACTAAATTGACCTTGGTTCAAATTCCCAATCAATTGTGTGGGATAGCAGTGGTAAACTACTCCTTGAACGTTTCACATACCTTGAAAGCCTTATTGGGATCATCATAATTTGGAAGCAGTGTGATAGCATGTAGCAAGTACACAATAGGCACAAATGTAGTCCCTGCTTCACATTGACCTAAATATGATTCAAAAATCTTATGAATTGTTTCTTTTCTTTTTTACAAAATTGCTTCCTTTTAGTTTGTTTTTTAATATACTTTTATATACAGTCATGTGAAGAAGGAAGTACACTCACTCTCTTTGAATTTGTATCGAGACATAGTAAAAACCATCTGGTCCTTAGCAGGTCTGAAAATTAGGTAAATACTACCGTAGATGAACAGTAACACATGACATATTACACTGTGTCATAATTTATTTTACAAAAATAAGGCCAAAATGGAAAAGCCATGTTTGAAAAACAAAGTGTACCCTTACTGCTTACATAGGAATTAAGAGGCTAAGTAGCAGCTAGATGCTGCTAACCAAATGCCCTTGATCATCAGCAAGCGTGATCACCTCTATAAAAGCTGAAAATTTAGCAGTTTGCTGGTCAGGAGCATTCAGGTGTGTGTTAACACAATGCCAAGGAGGAAATATATCAACAATAATCATAAAGAAGCAATTGTTGCTGCCCATCAATCTGGGAAGGGTTAGAAGGCCATTTCCAAGCAATTTAAAGCCCATAATTCTACAGTGAGGAAGATTATTCACAAGTGGAAAACATTCAAGACAGTTGCCAACCTTCCCAGGAATGAACGTCCAAGCAAATTCACCCCAAGGTCAGACTGTGCAATGCTCAGAGAAATTGCCAGAAATCCAAGAATTACACCTCAGATTCTACAGGCCTCAGCATGTTAAATGTTAAAGTTCATGACAGTACAATTAGAAAAAGACAGAACAAGTGTACTGTAGTTTGTTTGGAGGGGTTGCCAGGAGAAACCTCTTCTCTCTTAAAAAGAAAAAAGAACCATGACAGTATGGCTTAGGTTTGCAACGTTGTATCTGGTGGAGGGGTGATGATTTGGGCTTGTTTTGCAGCCACAAGACTTGGGCATCTTGCAGTCATTGAGATGACCATGAACTACTCTGTATACCAAAGTATTCTAGAGCCAAATATGAAGCCATCTGTCCAACAGCTAAAGCGTGGCTGAAATTGGGTCATAATCCCAAGCACACCAGCAGATCTACAACAGAATGGCTGAAAAAGAAAAGAATCAAAGTGTTACAATGGTCCAGTCAAAGTCCAGACCTCAACCCAATGAAAATGCTGTGGTGGGAGCTTAAGAAAGATGTGCATAAACTAATGAACTGAAGCAACATTGTAAACAAGAGTGGGCCAAAATTCCTCCACAATGATGTGAGGGATTGATAAAGTCATACAGAAAACAAGTACTTGAAGTTATTGCTGCTAAAAGTGATTCTGCAAGCTGTTGAATCATAAGGTGTACTTAGTTTTTCACACATGGCTTCTCCATTTTAGTTTTATTTTTGTAAAATAAATCTTGACATGGTGTAATATGTCATGTGTTGTCGTTCATTTGCGGTTGTATTAACCTAATTTTCAGACCTGTTAAGGACAAGATGATCTTTATTTTGTCCTGATTAGAGATATACGAATACCCCCGCACAGGTGGACATAATGGGGGCTGGACGGTCCATTCACCGATCCATAGTGGGCACAGGCCTTCCAATGGCTCCGGAGATTGCGTTCAGCGAGCCCCTCTTTGACCTAGCAGAGAGGCTTGCCTTCTGCCAGGAGTGGCAAGCTGAATGTGATCTCCGGAGTCATTGGAAGACTCTGCAGTGCCAGCGGTGGATCAGTGAGTGGACCATCCAGCCCCATGTGGCTGGACCCTCATTATATCCCCCTTGCGGGGGTATTCGTATACAAATACGAATACCCCCAACTCTAATCCTGATACATAGAGCCATAGAATTCAAAGAGGGTGTACTTTGTTTTTCACATGACTGTAGCTTGATAGTAGAAAACATCTGTACTGTTTCCCATGTGTTCCTGAGCCAAAGATAAAGGGAAGGCAATCTCATAGTGGTTCACTAACATATACTTCAAAAACCTTTCCCAAAGCCCCAAATATAATGAGCAATAAATCATAATAGAATATATCAAAACATAGAACTCCAGAATCAATGCTAATGGTCAGAGCATTCCAAAAGAGGTGTGTTAATGGTCAGAATCCTATCGGTGATTAATGTGTATATTAAATTAACTTGTGTAACTTACTGCGGTGAACTGCTGTCTATTATTAAAAATGTGCTGGTCAGGTTACTAGATGTGTGCTTCTTGCACGTAAGAACATAAGAAGATCCCTGCTGATCAGACCAAGGGCCTATCTAGTCCAGCTTCTTTTATTTCACAGTGGCCCCACCAAATGCCTCTGGGAACACATGAGACAACTAGATACCTGTCTCCTGATACCCCTCCCCTGCATCTGGCATTATGAGTTACCTTCCTTTTAAGCCTGGAGATTATACATTCCATCATGGCTTGTAACCTGCAATGGACTTTTCTTCCAGGAATCTGTCCAATCCCCTTTTAAAGGCATCTAGGCCAGATGCCATCACCACATCCTGTGGCAAGGAGTTCCACAGATTAACAACAGGTTGGGTAAAGAAATATTTTCTTTTGTCTGTTCTTACTCTCCCAACACTCAATTTCAGGGGAATCTGCTTTCAACATTCCTACACAATCCACTATAGTACAGAGAAGAAATTTGCTAGTGATTTGAAAGAGAACACATGATGAAGAGTATGGGTTGTCAGTGCAGGGTTAGGAGAATATAATCTGAAATGATCAGTGAAGATTATGTTGCTTACTAGGATTCTGTTGGTACAATGAGAAAAAAGTGATGATCAACAAATGCTTGAGTCAGAGAAAGTGAAATTGCAGGGGAGAGGTTCAGTTGTAATGTACTATCTGTGAATGAGGTTTTGAATTTTGGAATGACAACTAATAGGGAATACATACATAGTAAGAGTGTCATTATAATATGTAGTCAAAGATAATGACTTATGAATGAAACGGGAAGCTTGTCCAGATGGAACATTTGTTCCTCTCTGATTTGTTCTGGTTTGTTTGGTTTAGAGTTTAATTTTTGTCCATACTGCTTCACTTCTCTTGTCTCTTGGTTGGTCACCATCTTTTAAAGAAATGGATTAAAAAATCTTCCAAAAAGCTTGAAACCCTTTATAATATTTTAAAAGTCTTTAAAATATTCTTGTTTGCTGGATTTTTTCTTGTTCTGCTTTAGAAGATCATCCCTAAACTGAAAGGTCCCAGCACAGTGGAAATCTGTTGCTAATCCATCTTGAAAATTAGCTGGTTTGATCTGGAAACCCTGTAAGTGATCTTCTTGATTTTTGTGCTTTAGTAAAAAAAAAAGTTTGTTTTGGTGAAGTAGCATTCAATTGAAACCTTTGGATGTGGAGAAGCTTTTGCTTTTTGAACTCTATCAGAGATACAAAGTGAAATAAAATTGGCCCTTCTCCTAAAGGTGGCTTTTAAAAGCATGGACAATTAGATATGTTTTTTTCCTGCACTTTTCTCTTTTGGTACCAGTTAAAAATGTCTGTCATTTGGACAAGGGGAAGAATACCAATATCATCAATGCTTGTAAAATACCACAGGTGCTCTATCTAGATGAGACCAGAGAGCAAAATATGAAACAGAGTGGACAGGTTAAGTGCCAGTTGTTAATGATGATGGGATTTATGAATGTTTACGTTCCATTTTTGGTAACAGGATTAGCGTATGATCTAGGACTGCATGTAGATTTTTTTCAGCTTCTGGTTTTAATAAACCTATTGTATGTAATAAGGTTTCATATTATTTTTGAAATAATAGAAAAAAATATGTGGCAGAGATTACGATTATGGAGGCAGTAAGGGATTCGTATGAGAGAGGATTAGGAGTGAGATATCCAAATCCTGTGATCCATCTTGGATCTTTTTGCTGTACAGTACTTAGAATTTGGTTAATATTATATCTGCTGCAGTTCTTGTACAGAACACTTAACCTGAAGCTATGCCATTTGAAATGATGTAGTAATTATGGTAATTATGGTATTAATTGATGTAAAATAATATATGACTGATATCCTGCTCCTTTATTACACATGTGGAAGGCAAATGGCATTATAATTCAGTCACTTCTAGCTGGCAATAAATCCTTGCTGGGATTCTTGAGCACATCTGCCAAGCCAATAGGCATACAAACCTCTCGGAATCCTAGTGGTGACTTATTAAGTGCCAGCTAGAAGTGGCTGAATGTGATGCCATTTGCCTTCGGAATATATAACAGAGCAGAAAATCCTCTTATTGGGAGAAAGGTAGCCAATCAATCAATCAATCAATCAATCAATCAATCAATCAATCAATCAATCAATCAATCAATCAAACAAACAAACAAACAAACAAACAAACAAACAAGATTTCAGTCTATATATGTTAAATGATTCATTTATTAAAATGTTAAATGGCCACACACATACTTTATGATAAAATACATCTGTTCTAACAATAATCTGAAAAATGTGAATCACATCTGATTCTTGTGCATTGTGGTAGAAACACATTTTTCTTAAAGAGTAATTACCAAATGGATAAAATAGTATGTTTTGTGAAAAATGTTAAGAAAACAGCACTTTTCCCCACAAAAAACAACAATAAAATTCTGAACATTTGCCTGTTGTTTGCACCTCTCAAGATATGTCTCAAGATATTGAATTGGCTCATTTACTTGATTTTTCCTCATGGATGGATAGTTAACACCCATGTGGCTTTCTGTTACATCATTGATATGGGGGACACATTCTTTCAGTTTTCTGTTCCAGCTCCACCATATATATTTCAGGTACTGTTTTCAATTTTCTGGACCATTTGTTAACCATTAATTAACTAGTTAAATAATGACATTTAATTTTACTTGTATAGACTTGGCCCTTGTTGTCCTTAGCAATGGTATGCTTTCATGTGTAATAAAGTGTTCATTTACCCCCAACTCTGTTTGGTTTTCTACTTGTGGTTTTCTCTTCTTTCTGATTTGGTTTCCTCTCACTGAAAATCTGATGAGTCTTGCACTGTTTTGGTGCTTTGTTGTAGACAGCTGATGTTTCTTCGTAAGTGTGAATTTTAAAGGTGTTAGTATAAAAAGAAAATAACATATTCATTTATCCCTTTGTTCAATGTAGGCAGTGGGAACATTTTGAAGTGATATTGCTGCGTTTGTTTAGCCAATCAAATGTGAATCAGGTAAGAATTACAATTTTTAATCCATTTCATTAAAATGCTAGATCTATTGGAGTTTATTTTTGTTTCCGTTTTGTAATCCATTGAAAACAAAGCAGTCTAAATCCTGTATTCTCGGCTTTCACGGCCAGGATCTGATGGTTGTTGTGGGTTTTTTGGGCTCTTTGGCCATGTTCTGAAGGTTGTTCTTCCTGATGTTTCGCCCGTCTCTGTGGCTGGCATCTTCAGAGGACTGGAGTAGGAACTCTATAGTTATGCTGGTAACAGCATGACTTTTTGGAGGAAAATTGCCTTATAGAAATTATCTGAATAGTGAGTTGTGTGACTTAGTGCACAACTGATAACATATACAGTGACATCTTAATTTGGGATAATTTGCCTCCAGAAGTTGTGCTATGTGTGTACCTTTTTGTGAGGAAAAATATGTTTTATTTAAGTGAATGCTACTATTTATTCAGTTTTGGAATTTAATTTTTGCGTAGTCCAATGGAAAATTCCCTCCTCTCAGATACTTCTCATAGAAGGATGACAGGAACTGCATTTTACAATCATGCTTCAAATACTGCATTTTGTATTTAGCTTCGTAAAAAGGGCGGAAAAGTGAACAAAAACATTTTTTCGTATTCCTACAGAAAGTGAAAATCAAATTTATTTATTGTAAGGTGAGTTGTGTATATAAGGAGCCTCATGGTACAGTTGTTAAACTACAGTACTGCAGCCAAAACTCTGCTCATGACTCAAATTAAATTCCAGATAGGCAGCTCAAGGTTTATTGAGCCTTCCATCCTCCCAAGACCAGTAAATTGAGTACCCAGCTTGATGCTGGGTGGGAATGAGCAGTCTGCATAATTAAATTAGAAACAGTCCAGAGATGCTTTAAGTGCTATGGGATGGTATATAAGCAGCACACTTTGCTTTTGTGGATACAATAAGCAGTTTATAGGAAGCAAGAAGCAAGTAAGCTTTTTTGTTCCATGCAAATAACAGATGCTATACATTCAATCTGGATCAGGACCACAGTGGAGGGCAAATTATAAAAGCTTCCCATTCACTGTCCCAATCAGATCTCTCATCTTTCATTTATACCTATGGTTTACTTTTAAAGTGCCATCAAAATAATTACTAGTTGCATTAATGCCATCTTTTCTATTTTGATCCCAGCTGTTTATCATTACTTGTCCCTTAATTTGCATGGAGTCATTAATTAAACAAATCTTGGCATCTATGTAACGCTTCTGCTTGGTTTAAAAATTTATTATCTTTTCACTGTAGGTTGATCTGAGAGCTACTATGTTCTTTGTTTTTACCTGCACCAAGATAGGCTAATTAAAAGCTTTGGGACTGCTGGTACCACATTTGGCACCTGCTGATGTATTTTGAGTTTAACAGCCAGGTATAGTACATTACGCTGACAATCCTAAATACGCAAGGGTGCAATACATACCAAGGCCCGTTTACTCAGAGGTGGATAGAGTTGGAAACAGCTTGAAAAATAACCATTTCCAACAATAGTTCCCCAAATCCTTCTGCCAGCCACTGGGCTAGCATATGCTGGTCAGGAGATGCTAAGAGCTGTAGTACCAAAAAGTAAGTTTTTCATACTGTGTCCAAGTGTTAGAACAGTGATGTACGAATGAATGAATGAATAAATGTGCATAAAGCTGTAAGATTTAGTGAAAATTTTGAACTGAACATGACTAAGGTCCAGGTATCATAACAACATAAAAATGGATTAGCTTTTCTTGTGGTAAATTTGCAGCCCTGGTACAGTGGTGCCTCACTTAGTGATTGCCTCATTTAACGATTTATTCACTTAGCGATGAGGTTTTTGGAGCGATTTTGCGCTCCGTTTAGTGATGTTCCCTATGGGGAAATTTCGCATAGCGATGTTTGGGACCTTGCCTTGCTTAGTGATGACAGTTTAGGTCCCCTGTTTCGCTTAGCGATGTTCCGTTTTCGCTAATTTAAAAAATGTCTTAAAATGTTCAAAAACTGTTTTAAATGCTTGGAATAGTTAGTGCACCTTGTAAAACCTTTGCAAACTTAATTTGGCTTTGTTCTGAGTCTTCGTTAATTTTTGGTGAATTTTTTTCTCCCCCATTGGAATGCATTGAACTGCAGGTTTGACAGCTGTCAAACCGACAGTTCAATGCATTCCAATGGGGGAGAACAAATTCACCAAAAATTAACGAAGACTCAGAACAAAGTCAGAATACGTTTGCAAAGGTTTTACAAGGTGCACTAACGATCCCAAGCATTTAAAACAGTTTTTGAACATTTTAAGACACTTTAAAAATGGCGAAAACGGACATCGCAAAACCATTGGAATGCATTGAATAGGCTTCAATGCATTCCAATGGGGGAAACATTGTTTCGCTTAGCGATGTTTCCTATGGCGATTTTCGCTTAAGGACGGTAATCCGTTCCCATTGGAACGGATTAACCGGTTTTCAATGCATTCCTATGGGAAATGGTGTTTTGCTTAGCAGTGTTTTCCCATAGCGATGGTTTTTGGGGAACCAATTAACATTGTTAAGCGAGGCACCATTGTATTTTTTTTAATTGGAAATCATCTGTTATTTTGATGTGTGTTAAGCTACTGGTCAATGGGAAGAACTCCACTTGTTCATGTGCCAGCATAACTTGGATACATTGTCAGAGCAATATATACTGTATCCTTTAAATATAGTTTCTTTACGGTGGTAGTGGGCAGCTAGAGGTACTTCAGTTGTTGTTGGATTTGTACTTTCATCACTCCTTGTGGGAGAAATGATAGAAGATGCTGTCTAACAACATTTGGAGGATCACATTTTCCCCACTCCAGATTTAAATGGAACTAGGTACCAGGCAAAAGTATTCTTGGGCATGGGTTTCCTGGATGTTGCATGCATGCTCAGTATTTGAATGCAGCCTCAAGGATTATTATATTTCTGTAGAATTTGCCCCCAAATATCCACGCAGACAGTTTAGTGGTTTATTAAGATCCTTGCTCATTTACTCTACCATGCCAAAAAAAATAAAAAATAAAAAAAATCTAGAGTTTGACATGTATTAATACAATTGTGGAAGGTACTTCCAATTGCTTTCCTTTCATTGCCAGTAGGTTGTTTGCTTGTCTAGGGAAGAAGATATTTGAAAATGCAAACATTTTGCTTCTTTAAAAAAAAGGTGTTGGCGGGGAACCAAAACAGGCAGGCATGCAAACAAAAACACTACAGAACCTTTTTAAACCTTCTGTTGGTAGTTTATAATATGACATTTCAGATTCAGCTTATCCAGTAACAGTTTGTTATGGCTTGGGTTTGCAATCAAAGTATACAGTGCAGTGGGGAGGTATAGCTTGTTCTTGTGCTCTTGCTTCCCACTGTATGCTATCATGTTCTATCTTGCTCTAGTTCATATTTAAGCCAGCCTCCTGAAAATTTCTTAGTTCCTCCAGGCAAATTAAATAAGAATGTCAGAATTATTTGTATTAATATTATATTACAATATTAACATTCAATTTAATTGGTTTTTTAATAGAAGGAGAATATTGATACTTAGGAAAATTATGATTTAGTAAATATAGACATTACCTTTATAGTAAGATATTATATATATAGTACTGTAATGTTGTGATGGTAGTGGTACAGTAATCTGTACTAGTAGGATGTATTGCTGTGATCCTATGGAATCTTTATAAAAATTCTCTAGCTGGTCAGATGCATATTAACAATATAAAATCTATCATGCAAACACTCTCCATTTTAACTTGTTCTGTTGCATATCTCGCATTACCATTACTGGCAGCTATGCATCTCTGTCACATGTACTGTATTACAGTCCATCATAGTTGCATGATACTGTACATCTCAGTGCTGCAACATGTACAGTGGTGCCTCACTTGACGAGGATAATCCGTTCCTGCGAAATCCTCGTCAAGCGAAATAAAAGAGCCCATTGAAACGCATTGAAAACTTCAGTGTGTTCCAATGGCCGAAATACCTGCTCGTCCAGCGAAGATCCAATGTGTTCCAATGGGCGAAATACATGCTCGTCCAGCGAAGATCCTCCATAGGGCTGCTATTTTCGGGTGCCTGTGCAGTGAAAAATGCCTCCTAAAAACAGCGGGGAGCCATTTTGAGCAGCCACCGGCCATTTTGAAAACCCGACGATCAGGGAACCGAAGCAGGGAACCGATGGTCAGGAAGCGAAAAAGCCCATTAAAACATAGTTTTGTGATCGCAATTGCGATCGCAAAAACATCGTTGTGAAACGGATTCGTCATCAAGCGGGGTAATCGTTAAGCGGGGCACCACTGTACTATGAAACTAGTACTTTTGGCATCTACTGCAATGATAAAAAACTGTCATTGCTATATTAAATACCTGCAGTTGACACAGTATACAGGCTATATTGAATATATAGATGAACTCAGTACGCTTAGGGGACTTACAGTAGAAATAGTAGGTTGTATCAAGTCTTTTCTCCAGCTATTGTACATTTCTTGTTCTGCTAGGAGGTTGGTGGATCTGTTTTGGATGGAGGGAAAAGACTTCTGCAAACTTCTTTTTTTGCAGTTCCCATATTCTCTAAAAATTTTCTTCAGAAACGCTCACATGCTTTTGTGCTTGGAACGACCCCATGAGTACATGGAAGCTGAAGCCTGGATCTAGTTTATGATATGAGATGGAGGAACAGATAGATTTCCATTATTGACTTTCAAAAAAAGACACAGAGAGATCATACATGCACACACCAATTATTATCAGAGCTTGAATAACCATTAGTATTTTCAAATGAAACTGTGCATTGCTGGAAGAAAGACAACTGGCAAGAAATCTTCTTTTTTGAGATTAGAAGATATTGAAAAGAAATGTTCTTGTCAAGCATCTTGTGACAAAGGGCAGATTTTACTCTCTCTTTTTTTAGCTTTGAGAAAATGACATGGTGATGTCCTTTCAAATGAAGAAATGAATCCTTTTCCTCTGAAAATGAAATTCTCCACATTTCTCAATTGCCTT